CGCTAAGTGATTGCCTACGGGGGAAAAACTTGTAAATTAGTGCAAAGCCCTGAAAAGCCACAACGTGTCATGAGTTCCATTCCATGACACTTTTTGCTCGAAAGAGATGGTTCAGCAACCCTGCCGCAGGTGGGGAAAAAGTGACGGCTCGTGCCGAGTCGCACTGAGGGACGGGATAGTGACCAACGCTGTCATAACCAGGGCATGTGCTGTCGCTACGATCCCCGCTCATTCTGCGCCCAAGTTTCTATTACTCTTCCAGAAGAATTTCCAATTTTTATCAAGAAGCAAGCAATTACGATCCTCCTCCGTCAAAATGAGAGACCCCCATCGATATGGAAAGCGAAAAAGAAATAGGAAAAAAATCAGATGTCGAAAGGAATTTTTCCCGCATCAGGTACGACAACGCTGGCACGAAGTTCCCCAGCGTACGACGTCGGCGTGCCATGACTGTGATCTGATAGATAAGCCCTTCGTAAACTTAGGTACCCCCTAGTCATGGTGGCCTGCACGTCAGTGCCGCCTGTGAGTCTTTCCGTGGAGCCCACGTCAAGAAGAACGGGCGCGTATGAGGGCGAAAACTTCCAGGCCCGTCTAAGAGCACGAGCTAAACGGGAACTATACTACCTCCCTGACGCGCCCGCACTAAATCAATAACAGTCAACACTGTCGTGATACAATTTACTACATGAACATATACACGAAAATAGATCAAAAATTTGAACACTGTGAATAAAGAACACTGAACTGAGATCAAGCAATTACACTGCACCTCAAAGACCACTTTCGAAATACTACCCTAAACTACACTTTCAGTTCAGTCGGCAAGAACCACTGCTTTGGCTAACAATCGTTTCTTCGCTGAAGGTGCTATCCAGCATAAAAACGCAACGAAGAAATGAGGTGGAAATGGGTCTCACACAGTTTTGCAGCTTTCTGCAGATTCCAGCAAAGTGGCGCTGTACGAGTTTGCAAAGTGGCCCTCTTTTATCCTATAAACCTTCAAATCTCGCCCTACCAAAGTTCTTCAAGAACAATCACTTATGGAAGCATCACACGAATATGTGCACGCCAACTGATCTCTAACAAAGACTGAATAAAAGTGTCACAGTCGAATTCACTCACTGGTCGACGGAACACTGTGCTCAGCAGGCTGTTGAAGTGTGCAGACAGTTGGAGGAGGGATGGGCTGGCTAGGGTTTTCAATCTGAAATTGTTTCTCACTTACAAGCATGTTCGATGGTGTTTGAACGCACTGAAATAATTTAAAAACACACATGTTTCCGAAGTAATTGCGTTTCCTTACGGAATTCATCTAGCTTCTGCCAGTACTGCATCTGCTTGGCAACCGCCTCCTGCTTCGCCTGGACTGCTTGCTCCAGCTTGCGCGAAAACTCTGCATCTTGTAACTGCTCTGAAATACACGTTACTATTCGCAATACGGGTGACCGAATATAGGTAGCTGAGAGTATAACCATCAAGATTCAATTGCATAAAAATTAGAAAAGCGGACTTGCCAGATTAGTGATACAAAGCTGCGACTTGACCTATGATTTCGCTAACAGGGGTTTCGAAGTGGAACTGCGAATCAAAGTCTGGATCAACGCCATTCTTATGTAGAACGATTTCGTTCACACAACTTTCAATCAAGCGGAAGTATGATAACCTGAACAAAACTGTTACAGCGAACTAACTACCGGTAAGGTGGAAGGTGGGGTGGGGGGTGGGTCAAGGTGAAGGGAGGGAGAACAGGGGAGGGTCGGAACCTGGGAAAGCGCTCTGAGCGCACTATAACAATTCAACTATTCACTTTCGACTTTTTCTGATCTTGGAGGGTTCGGAATATAGAGAAACGGTGTACGTGAGCCGCTGACGGTGAACGGTAGCGCGAGGCTGTCCAAACAGCTATAAACGGAGACTACTGCGTGACAGCAATAGTCTTCGCAGCCCTAGTCTGCAATTATATGCGGCAGTAGTGGCGTGGATGCTTCAGGGTACTTTAACGCTGCGTTCATACTTTGCGGCAGCGTCCACCAGCGTTTCGAGTGTCCGGCAAGGTCAGCGACTAGGGAAGTATGAATATCGATCCAGAGTCTGCCAGCGTCTGCCAGCGTCCGGGAGCGGAGAGCACGGCGCAACAGGAGGGTAGTAGACAGCTGGTAGAGTATGAGGAGATAGGAGATTGACTGCTGGTAGAGAGTAAAGCACAATAGAAGGGTAGCAATACGCCTCCTTTCCACCACACCCTCTAAAGCCGGCAAAGTGCTGCCTGGTCGCTGATGGACGCTGGTAGACGCTGACAGATGCTAGATCGATTAGTATGCTTCCCGAGCCATCGAGACGCTGGTGGACGCTGGAAGGTGCTGATGGACGCTGACAGACGCTAGAATCGATATCTAACAGGGGAGGGGGGGGGGCAAAAAAGTCACTTCGACCGAGTCACATATCAGCAAAGTTTTCGCTGCCCAGACAGAGGACGTGGATACGAGTACCAGGGCGGAAGATACCCAAGATGTTTCCTCTACAAGCAGGAGCTGGCTCTCGCCCATCACCTTCATGTACGCCAAAACATGAAGTCATCTCCAGTCGCAGCCTGACTTTAAAAGACCTTTGAATTCACGTCAGCTCCAAACAGCTGCGAACTTCTAGTATGGAGTCACCCATGGATAGCTACCTGGAGACCAGTACTCTCGATATGGAAGACCTCCATCATCGAGCAGCTCCGTCAACGTCGCTACGGTCTAGGACATCATCTTCACCTCAGTCGCCAAGGCGCCAGTTGATGGTGGGGACCGGACGTACCTGGAATGGAGAGACCGATATTTTCTTCGTGGGACCCCCGGACCGGCTGTTATGCGAGGTGAGCGCTGGCGGTTACATTGAGCAACTCGAGAAGAATCCTCCTCACATGTCGTCGCCCGTACCTTCTTGGAAACTTTGTACTGCTACAGCATTGGGTGCCACCACATGGAATCGAAGGGCGTTGGAGAAACTCTCGCCTACTTGGAATGGAAGGGGGCTGGTACCTAAAGAAGATGGAATATCCAAGTAGGTCACCTGACCTGAATCCCCTCAATTACCCGGTTCGGGTGGGCGGAGTTCAATAGGGTGGTCTACGGTGGCGGAGAAATCGACTATCTCGCTGATCTCAGGCACCACATCGCGGTCGCGCGCCAGAATCTCTCGATGGCGCTCGTCCAGAAGGTCTGTGGCGGAGTGTCATGATAGTATTTAATATGCTCTTATGGTGGTGAAAATGTCCGATGAGAATTTCAATAAAGTGTAATTTATAGCGCCTCGAAAGTCAATGAAGAAAAGTGACTTTTTTTGCCCCCCCCCCCCTGTATAGCTTTTGTCGCTGCGCTGCGCGGAATACGGAACCTGATGGACCGGCTGCGCTGCAGCAAAGTATAAAGGCAAGGCCCTCATCGCTTCACTATTCGGTCGCTGCTGATCGCCGGAAAGCACGCAGAGCGCCTTCTACTTTGACGCCAGGGGGGGGTAAATTATCGGCGGGGCTGATCCTCACAGCTCAGTACAGCAGTGAGGCGCAAAATCTTCGCAAAGGAAGAAAAATCTTGAAAAAGAGAAAATTGCGAAGTATGAACACTTTCTCAGGCTGGCGGGAACATTAGACCTTCTTGAGCTCTTCAGTGAAAAACGATTTCCCTTTCCCAGGACCGATGAGGAGATTCTTCGTGCCAGAGGGACATTCAGTCTCCTTCATGTACCTCGCAACCCAATGCAGCGTAAACTTTGATGGCGCGCGCCACGCGCGAAGTGTTTTTCCCCTCCTTGTGGATCATGGGTAATCACCTGAGGCAAAGGCATTCCAAAGCACATACCTCACGGACACATCTTCCGGAATAATCATGAAATGCTGCATTATGCTGAGCAAAACGGGCTCCACTGCTGTATTTGCGGACGTTGAAGCAAGAAGTTCGAAACATCCTCCAAGTGTTTCGTATTCACCACGGCTGTAAGATCGGTTAAAATAGCTCAGATATGGATTAAGAAGGCGCTCTTCAATGAGACGTACAGTGTTTCAAACCGGGCTACGAGTTCATTGAAATCGTCGTCTTGGATGGAAGTGAAGGCACTGTAGACCTCTCCAATCCGCTCATCGCTCTTGGACAGTAGGACTATGTGCTACAAAGTTTATAGGTCAAATTAATCCTGACGGTAGAGAGAATGGATCAAAACTCACCGGGATATACTTCCCGAAACCAGCTCTCATCAGCTCGGAGCGAAGAGCCATTCGTGTTTGCCATGCTTGATCTTCACCTAGCTCACGATCGCTACTATGGATCAACAGATTGATGATGATAAGAATTCGGTACTGAAAGGCATCTTTTGATATCCCGAATTCCGCTTCAAGCGAAGGCAGCGTTCAGACTTCGCAATGACGCACGCACTGTAACTCGCTTTAACGCTTCGCGACGCCGCTCGAGCTAATCTCCCAACGGTCCCCCACAGCTAATAGACGCGACGCAGCTGTAGAGCGCTGGCCGCCGATTCGATCGCCGTCGTTAAGCTCTCCACCAATGGGCGTCCGTCGCCATTTTGTGTTTTTGAGGAGTGTGGAGAAAAATAGGATGCGTCTCGTCACACAGACTTCGCGATGACGCGCGTCGTCGGCGTTACAGCGCGTTACAACGCTTCCACGCTCGCGAAGTCTGAACGCTGCCAAAGCAATGAAAAGTAATTCCAAAAGACATCACAAACCACGTGGTCCACATCACATTCTTTGCAAAATCGAAGGCAATCCAAAATGGGTTTGAATCGTGGCTGCTTGGTTCTAGCCGACAACAGCGTAAGTTCCTTGATCATTTTCTGGGCACTGAAGAAAAAAAGAAATCACGGACTGTAAGAATTACAGACTTGTAAAAAATTGGTCAAAAAACTGGTAAACACATGGACCAGCGGTAAGGTACTACTAACCCGTCATCTCCATTTGAATATTTTTCGTAGTTTCCTGATTAACCATACCGAGTGACGCAAGTATTTTTACAGTTTCGGCTCTCAACGCACGAGCCACTTCAGTCTCTTCTCCTTCTCTAGGTCTTCGCTTATTGATGGCACATAGAACTTCAATAAGTCGACCGATAGCGCGTGAGTCACGTTGCAAGACTAGCTCGAGTCCAGGCTAAATTCAATGGATATTCAATCGCGATACCACTAGTAAAACACATATATTCAGGACGACATCAAAGAAATGAGCTCCATTCACTTACGTAAGTATTGACTATAGTACGAATACATCGCACAACTTCCATCAGTAACGACTGAAGATCGCGCGATTCGATAGTGTCTTCTTGTGCATTCCTCAATTCCTCCAGAATCTGAAATGAGAGCGTAGACGAGGACCGAACAGGTTTACAGTACAGTGAAGTAGACGTTTGGTTTTCGCTCATGGAAACTAGACCGGATCAAAGAACAGAGTGTCCTGCAGCAGCGTCCACAAAATTGCAACCGAACGGACCCAGAGGGGCAGATCCCCCAGAGCTGTCGCACTGCGCACTGCGGCAGCCACACGCCCAACCACAGCCCAGGGCAACATCATTGGTTGGAATTTTGAAGTCGCTTCGTACGACTCCCCCTGCCCTCTGTCCCGTCCTCAAATCGAGGCGTTCCCGAAGGGGGGGGGGGGGAGCGGCCGGAGGGGTGGGGGCGAGACAATACGGCGAACCTCTCCCCCAAACAAAATGAGGCAATGAGCAAGTACAACCTTTTTTACAACGTCCGTGAAGCGAGAAAAATCAACTATCAGAACAATTTGTAAATTTTTCTCAGCCCCAAGACGACCCCCTCTGTTGGGGATTCCCCAAAAACGATGTGCCGCCACAGCCAAACGTGCTTCTTGTCTGTGCCCTTTCACTTTTGCTTATTCTCTACTGCTGGGAGCTGCATGCTGCGGGGTCCTGGTAATCAGCGACCAAGGCTGGACTTTGAGGAAAGCGCGGAGGAAACTCATAAACAGCTACGCGGTGCCTCATGTTATAAATTTCACCTCAATTCCAATGCTCTCCCAAGTGCGCCAAGTGTCGTTCTGTATGACCACAACCGCTTCTCTCGCAGCATGCAAGGAGCATCTCGGGGCAATTAATAAAGGCTTTCCTTTTTCAACAAAGAACGTAAACAAATTATTTGATAGCTTACCAAAAACGGCAAACAGTCGACAGATCAATCTGGGCAATCCATTCTCATCAGCTATAGTTCATTTCGCATACGCTTAGCGAAACTGAAAAAAGTTCCATATATTCGTAGAGAGATGATAAATCGAATTTAAAAAAAAAAACTAAGTAGACGACCAACTCTTCACGATATAGGTGTATCAAATAGGCAAAATAAAAAGCAAAAATATTCTCCACGTAAAAGTTACACACCTCGGATAGATATTTCACACCTTCTCCACCAAGTATCACTCTTCAAAGTGACTACATCGCTTTTTTTCTCCAACACGTTTTTGCTATCTAGTACTGCAAGTAGGTCATCGATCATCATTTTCGGCGACTGAAACAACATTATTCAGAAGAATGAATGGAAGCCACGGCTCGTACACAATTCATTTGAGCGTGATGTTCGGGTGTTGGAGCTAGTGAACTGCAGATCCGAGTTGCAGCACGGCGGGTAATCGGTGTCGCGCGACCCGTCGCAATGCAATTAAGGCACGATAGCACGGGGAAATCGCTAACCCATCGCCGCCAGCGACCTAACTCCGTTTCTACGCGTCGCGCTGACTCGGATCTCATGGTTCGCTCTTGAAACTTGGTACCATTGGTGATGAAATGGAGCCAAAGGCTGGTAACTAAACTACATAGCCTTTTTTGATGTTGGATTTTCCCCAACTGAGCAGCAATCAACCACAGGCATGAGTCGAAGACTTCTTCTCACGACTCTTGTTATCACTAGTTATCAGTTACTGACGTTTGAATGGCTCAGGGAGGGAGAGAGAGAGAGAGAGAGAGAGAGAGAGAGAGAGAGAGAGAGAGAGAGCTATAAATAAGGGTAAAGTCTAGGCCGTTGATCAATCTCTCTTTGGGGCGCATTCTACGTACATCCAGAATGGTACGAGGCTTATTGAATGCGATATGGCGTATACAACAGACTTGAGGGGGACCCTCGACTCATCAGTCAGTGTTCTTATCCTACTGGGAGAACTGGTAGCAATACACCGTCCCGGGGGATAGAGAGCCTGGTTGACCTGCCGGGAGCCGATCCGGGATTTGACCCCCGAACCGCGCTTCTTGTGAACGGGCCACTTGCCACTACACCACCTACGCCCCTGGGAAAGCTATATGACAAATAAATATCGTTGTTTTCGGCGATTTCTGAAGAAGTGGAATACATTTCAGCGGCACGGTCTGGCCAATCGCTTCGTGGGATTTCGGTGCGGATGATGGTGACATGTGGTTGGGAGATTTTTCTCAAATCAACTTCCTTACAGGTATAGCCGAGTGATTAATGATAGACGCAGGTCTACACCAGGGAATGTTCAGCCCTACGTGAAACAAAAGATCGTTGAAAAGACGGCAAGTATGATGCCGGTACCAGGGCATGAAGTAGGTTGATCGAGTCGGCCCGAAGATAGGGTCCAGCTCGATCAAAACTGCGTGCCTTATTGAGTAGCAAAAAAGGAATATATGACAAAGCAATCTGCAACTCGCTCTATTATTGAACACCAGTCGGATCGCCCGCCTTCGGCGGGCGATCCTCCTTATGCGTGTGAAGTGGGTCCCCGGCCATCCAAACTGAGGGCCAGTCGGATCGCCCGCCTTCGGCGGGCGATCCTCCTTATGCGTGTGAAGTGGGTCCCCGGCCATCCAAACTGAGGCCAGTCGGATCGCCCGCCTTCGGCGGGCGATCCTCCTTATGCGTGTGAAGTGGGTCCCCGGCCATCCAAACTGAGGGCCAGTCGGATCGCCCGCCTTCGGCGGGCGATCCTCCTTATGCGTGTGAAGTGGGTCCCCGGCCATCCAAACTGAGGGCCAGTCGGATCGCCCGCCTTCGGCGGGCGATCCTCCTTATGCGTGTGAAGTGGGTCCCCGGCCATCCAAACTGAGGGCCAGTCGGATCGCCCGCCTTCGGCGGGCGATCCTCCTTATGCGTGTGAAGTGGGTCCCCGGCCATCCAAACTGAGGGCCAGTCGGATCGCCGCCGGCGGGCGATCCTCCTTATGCGTGTGAAGTGGGTCCCCGGCCATCCAAACTGAGGGCCAGTCGGATCGCCCGCCTTCGGCGGGCGATCCTCCTTATGCGTGTGAAGTGGGTCCCCGGCCATCCAAACTGAGGGCCAGTCGGATCGCCCGCCTTCGGCGGGCGATCCTCCTTATGCGTGTGAAGTGGGTCCCCGGCCATCCAAACTGAGGGCCAGTCGGATCGCCCGCCTTCGGCGGGCGATCCTCCTTATGCGTGTGAAGTGGGTCCCCGGCCATCCAAACTGAGGGCCAGTCGGATCGCCCGCCTTCGGCGGGCGATCCTCCTTATGCGTGTGAAGTGGGTCCCCGGCCATCCAAACTGAGGGCCAGTCGGATCGCCCGCCTTCGGGCGATCCTCCTTATGCGTGTGAAGTGGGTCCCCGGCCATCCAAACTGAGGGCCAGTCGGATCGCCCGCCTTCGGCGGGCGATCCTCCTTATGCGTGTGAAGTGGGTCCCCGGCCATCCAAACTGAGGGCCAGTCGGATCGCCCGCCTTCGGCGGGCGATCCTCCTTATGCGTGTGAAGTGGGTCCCCGGCCATCCAAACTGAGGCCAGTCGGATCGCCCGCCTTCGGCGGGCGATCCTCCTTATGCGTGTGAAGTGGGTCCCCGGCCATCCAAACTGAGGGCCAGTCGGATCGCCCGCCTTCGGCGGCGATCCTCCTTATGCGTGTGAAGTGGGTCCCCGGCCATCCAAACTGAGGGCCAGTCGGATCGCCCGCCTTCGGCGGGCGATCCTCCTTATGCGTGTGAAGTGGGTCCCCGGCCATCCAAACTGAGGGCCAGTCGGATCGCCCGCCTTCGGCGGGCGATCCTCCTTATGCGTGTGAAGTGGGTCCCCGGCCATCCAAACTGAGGGCCAGTCGGATCGCCCGCCTTCGGCGGGCGATCCTCCTTATGCGTGTGAAGTGGGTCCCCGGCCATCCAAACTGAGGGCCAGTCGGATCGCCCGCCTTCGGCGGGCGATCCTCCTTATGCGTGTGAAGTGGGTCCCCGGCCATCCAAACTGAGGGCCAGTCGGATCGCCCGCCTTCGGCGGGCGATCCTCCTTATGCGTGTGAAGTGGGTCCCCGGCCATCCAAACTGAGGGCCAGTCGGATCGCCCGCCTTCGGCGGCGATCCTCCTTATGCGTGTGAAGTGGGTCCCCGGCCATCCAAACTGAGGGCCAGTCGGATCGCCCGCCTTCGGCGGGCGATCCTCCTTATGCGTGTGAAGTGGGTCCCCGGCCATCCAAACTGAGGGCCAGTCGGATCGCCCGCCTTCGGCGGCGATCCTCCTTATGCGTGTGAAGTGGGTCCCCGGCCATCCAAACTGAGGGCCAGTCGGATCGCCCGCCTTCGCGGGCGATCCTCCTTATGCGTGTGAAGTGGGTCCCCGGCCATCCAAACTGAGGGCCAGTCGGATCGCCCGCCTTCGGCGGGCGATCCTCCTTATGCGTGTGAAGTGGGTCCCCGGCCATCCAAACTGAGGGCCAGTCGGATCGCCCGGCGGGCGATCCTCCTTATGCGTGTGAAGTGGGTCCCCGGCCATCCAAACTGAGGGCCAGTCGGATCGCCCGCCGGCGGGCGATCCTCCTTATGCGTGTGAAGTGGGTCCCCGGCCATCCAAACTGAGGGCCAGTCGGATCGCCC